TCATAGAGTCTCGTTTCTTAAATAATCCTCTCAGCAAACACGGAATAGGTATGGAGAAAAGCTACAATCCTGATGCACACCCTTCCTGATTTTAAACCATGCAGTGTTCCCTTGCTCTGTTTGCACACAGCCTCTTGGTCCAGGTATGAGTAGGAGGCATGTATTATTTTTACAACCAGAAGGTGAAATTTGGAACCAGAGCTAAAATGACAAAACTGGGATCAGAGACTAAGTCTCTTGATGCCTTAAAGTCAATATTCTTCTCAACATAGCATTCTGCCATTTTAACTTGTAAAGAATTAAAATTATGAACATAGAGCAAACAATACTCTATACAATTTACTCTCTTTGGGTGATTCAGAACACATCTTCAGTTTAAGTATGCAGAACCTTGATGATCTCCACAGCACTCAGTCATGATGATTAGGAGCGTTATCTGGTTGACCCAGGGGCACATCAATTACAGTCCACTTTGTCAATTTGGGAAATTTAGTACTTCAAAGTGTCATGAGTTACCATTTGGTCTAAAATCTATAATTGATATCCAATTAAAGCTTACAGTGTCCTTTATGGCTATAGGCCATTATCTGAGTTCATATACAACAAATAGGAATAACATTGTTTTTATAATCATACACACACACTATCCCTTCTTGGAGGGAAGAATTAAATTAGATACCCGTGTAAACAGCTTGTTATAGCACCTTCCAACACATGATAGCTACTATATAAGACAAAATAAAAGAATTGTTTATGCACTGCAATCCCAAAGGTACGCAGTTCAAATCCACCAGATGCTCTGCTGGAGAAGGAGGAGCAATCTCCTCCTGTACCAATCAGATATGATTTGATGGTACACACATACACACAAAATAATTAAAATTAAAAAAAAAAAATTGTTGATAATCAGGGAGCTCTGGTGGCCTAGTGGCAAGAAGCTGCACTGCAATCCCAGAGGTACATGCTTCAAATTCACCAGACGCTCTTTTGAAGAAGGAGGGGCAATCTTCTCCTGTACCAGTCAGATCCAGTTTGATGATACACACAAAAAAATAAGAAAATAAAAAAAATACATATTTAAAAAAGAAAAAGAACTGTAGCTATCTTAACCTTCAGAGTGAAGAGGAGGGTAGTGGTGAAGCTGCGGGGCAGAGGCTGAGTATAGCCAGGTTCGGGGTGTGTCCATATCCCCCACCTAGTCCCCAGATGAGCCAACAATATTTTCCTTATATGATCAGCCTTCACTGCGGGGCTCTACTGCTTCCCTGGAGCCCGAGAGGATTATGAAAACATGTTTGGTGATTTGGGGCCTGGGGACGGGCACCCATAGAGAGGGGCGAGGGGCAGCAGGGAAGGCTAGGGATGAGAGGTTTAGGGAGGCCTCTGCAGCTGCGACTGTGAGCCCTGATCGGTGATGACCAGACTACTGTGCAATCTGAGTTCTGGGAACCAGAGGATGGAGCATGTGCCAAAAAACAAACAATAAAAAGTAATCTTTAGGAAAACAAGGCAGAAATACCAAGCTTGAACTAGAAAAAAAAATCAATTTAATATGAAATTATTTGGCTATATTTCTATAGCTATTAATTGCAAATAATATAAATAATTAATATAAATAGCAATTACTGCTAATTACATACAAAAAAATGAGAGAGCCTAGGTGGCCTAGCGGGTAGGGCATCACCTACAAGTATGTGGCTAGAATCTACCAGCTGCTGTGGGAGGAGGACAGGCATCTCATCTTGTATGATTTACAGCCTCTGAAAACCTGCTGGAGGGTCAGCTATGAGTCCATTCCGACCTGATGGCACATAACATTAAAAAAAAATCACTCATAATACCAGCATGTATAAATTAGCCACTGTCAGTGTTGTTTTGTTTTTCTTTTTAAATGTGTGTGTACTGTCAAACTGGATCTGACTGGTACAGGAGAAGATGGCTCCTCCTTCTCCAGCAGAGCATCTGGTGGATTTGAACCTTACGCCTCTGGGATTGCAGTGCAGATTCTTGCCATCACTGTCAGTGTTTCTACAAAGTTTTATACTTTCATGTGCACAAGCACCTGTATGTCTTACACAGATGAGAATAAAGTAATCCAATTCTGTCCTCACCTTAAAAAAAACAAAACACACACACACACACAAAACCCCAAACAAAAAACCCCCCCTAATCTCCCAAAAGACACACAAAATCAACACTTCACCTCTCAAACCTGAGTACATAAGAAATGCCATCTTCTGACCAGCTGGTAATATACACATAAAGGATCATTCTTTTTAGTATTTCACTGAATAGTAACCTTCTAGTCTCTTTTCATGTAAATTCTAAAGAGCATAGCTGTATTTGAAATACTCATACTGTCCCTACTGTAAACAACAAACACTGTGATAGAAAGTGGATATATCCCTGTCTACCTGCAGGACATGAGAGGCATACTTTACACTGGGATGTGTGCTGCAAACTGCCCTGCAGAAAAGCTGTTCTATCTGCATTCCTATCGGCCAGGGACTAAGGTGCTTATATTCCTACACTCTTGCCTAGTAACAGGTTTGGTTATAGAAGAAAATCCTGCCTTGGTGGCACAGGGCTTAAGCACTCAGCTGCCAACGGAAAGGTCGGAACCCATCAGTGACTCTCAGGGAGAAGAGACCTAATGATCTGACTCAGCAAAGGTTGTTAATGTTGTAGACTGCTGAGAGGGAACTGACCCACAGCTGACCCTCCAGCAGGTTTTCAGAGGCAGTAAATCCCACAGGAGGAGACTGTCCATCTTCCTCCTGCAGAGCAGCCGGCGGATTTGAACCGTTTGCCTTTGGGTTGACTGTGTAACTCCTGACCACTAAGCCACCAGAGCTCCCTTTAAAGTTACATCCTAGGAAAGCTGGGAGGAGGGTCTACTCTGTGACACACAGGGACAGCAGGAAGAAGCTGTGTATGTGAGGAAACACACAGGGCTGAGGATTCTTCCTTCTCAGGATGCAGATAACCAGAAATCCTTATTTGATTAGAACTGGGTTTTTCATCATCCAGCTCAGTTCTCCTGACCATTGTTTGCTTTTCTTTTATTGTCAGGTATCAATCATGGGCAGAGAAATGAGGGAATGTGTGACAATGAAAAAGACAAACACCAACATCATCACTGAGACTGAGCGAGGACTTGATCCATCACTGCACTCGCCTCTCCTGACCCTCGATGACTGAAGGGCGTGCTCGGTGTGGCTTCAGTCAATTTTCCTAACAATCAGCATCCATGAAGACACAATAGCCACTTCATCTCATTTCATCTCATTGTGACAACTGAGGAAAAGCTGCTCAGGCCAGGAGAGCGGTCTACACAACACAGTTTGCCAAACCAGATGCTTAAGTGAGTTCAGTATCCAGAGATAGTGTGAGTAGGTCACACATGGATGAGAGCAGCTTTCTTGACTTTGACCATCAGAATGGTCCTCAAAATAAAAGGATTGCAGCTGTGAAGTGACAGTGAAAAGGTTCAGATGACGCTCTCCCTTTGAATTATTATTACTCACAGATACTCTAAATGTGCTCCAAAAGGGCTAGAGATTACCCGGTCACGATTCTGCTTTTTTACTGACACAATGGAGTAAAACCAAGTTGCTGATTCAGACTTTGGAAGAAAAGCGCTACCTGGGTGGCATCACCCACGTCGGCAGTGAGCCTCACTCCACCTGCTTCCCGTTCTTCCCATTTAGGTAATTTCTCTAACAGTCACCTACTGAGTATTATTTAGAAGAAAGATGTCCTTTAAGTTGCTGGCCAGCCTCACTAGACAGCAGTGAAGACACAAACCAAGTTCCTGCTCTAGCTGTGGAGAGATAGGCCACAAAGCACTCTGAATGCTAATAAACCAGCCAGACAAACCAGGGGATGTAACTGGCAGGGACGTGGAGGGGAGGAGAGGCCTCATTAGATGCGATGATGGGATAAGCCAGAGGTCTCAGGGGTGATATGTGAGCTAAACTGGAAAGAGATGCACTCAGTCATGCAATGACCTGGAAGAACAATGTTCCAGGCAGAGGAAACAGCCAAAGTGAGAGAATGAGTTTGTGGTGTTTCACAAAGAGCAGGCCAGTGTGGCCAGAGGAAACACAGATGAGGCTGGATGTGGAGGATTACACAGGGCCTCGAGGCCACTGCAGAGTCTGGATTTTATTCTAGAACAAAGAGACATCATTAAACGGCTTGAAAGGAGTGGCAGGACCTGATTAAGTTACTCACAATTTCACGGTAACTTCATAGTTTCTTGCAGGACAAGAGGGGGAGTGAGGAGATACATATATTTGTATATTTGCTATTAACCAGAAAGTCAGTGGCTCAAATCCACCAGCTGCTCCTCAAAAGAGAGATGGGCAGATCTTCTCAGAAAAAGTACTGAACTATGTGGAACATTAGTGAGCTCTCGTGGCCAAGAGTTGTGCTGCCAACCCAAAGGTGAGCAGTTCGAATCCATCAGGTGGAGAAAGACGGGCGATTCTCCTCCTGTGTGATTTACAGTCTCTGAAAACCTACTCACTGGAGGGTCAGCCGTGAGTCAGTTCTGACTCCATGGCACCTAACAACATGCTAATTATCAGCTAAGAACATCTGACGTCCTCGTCTCAAGAGGAGCAAGAAAGTCTGCTCCGTGACACGATCATGATGTGGGGATATTTCAAGTTCATCAAGGATGAAAGCAGCTCAATCCCAAACAGACTTCCAGGCAGCACGCTTGGCAGTGGTTCCTCAAAATCCTAACAGTCTTCTGTTCAAACCTACCCCCAGCAGTATGTTCCTGCCAACCCCCAGGCCTGAGTGCGAGAGAACATGCCAGCAGGAGGGAGCCTTGGCCCACCCCAGGGCTGGGCGCACTCAGGAGCACACGTCCTTTCCCAAGGCTGCCACTGTCACGTCAATCACCAAGGACAGTGCCGGGGGAAGGGCTCGGCCGCCTGCCCACAGCAGCATATTCGGTCTGCGTCTCCTCCTCACTGCCCGCCCCTTACCTGGGTCATTTTGTCCACAGAGACTGGGATTCCGTCGATGGTGAGAGGCGGCAGCTCGGAGTTAACCTCCTGTGGCGCGGGGGCGTGTTCAGCTAGGGCCGACTCCAGGTCTTCCAGAATCATGTTCTTGTACTTACGCACCTGCAGGGAATTAAGGCCAGAAGTAAACAAGATGCCCGACAACCAGGGAGGGCAGTGCCAGGCAACCAGCAAGGGGGTGGGGCCTGCTGCCCTGGGCCACTGCACAAAAACACTTCCACTTCTAGCAGGTAAAAATACCCGCAGGCCCCAAAGACATCTCAGTGAGCAGAATGAAAGAAAAAGATGATGAAATTATAGGTAACAATGGTCAAAAGCAGCCGGTGAAGAAGGTACTGAAATACTGCTTCTGGGTTGAAATCGGCTTTCTCAGTCATTTCATTTCTGACCCAACCACTGCCTGCTCCAGATCGAACAGTAATGGCATTCATTGCTCAGCACTTCCAGGCCGTGGCGGTAAACCGTCAAAATTCTTCTCAAGACTCTAGGACTTATGTCTCCAAAACTCAAAGCAGCCTATACTGAACTGCAGCTATTTTCCTGCAAAGCCAGACTACCACATAGAGAGGACAATCATGTACAAGAAGTGGGGGGAAAAGAACCAGAAAATACAGAAGGGATGCACTGTAGCTGGGGTTAGAGAAGCCACTTCCTTTAAGGCCTGGGATAGAGCGCTGGCAGGTCAAGGACCTTCCCCTCCATGGCAACAGAGGGGTCACAAAGCTCCCCAGATATGGCTGTTCTTTGGCTCCATTGCTCTCCACTGTCAGGGAAGCAGCTCTCAAAGGCAGCGAACTTAACAGCGGCACATTTGTACACACACACATTCTTCCACCACGGGCAGGCCAGGCAGACAGACACTGGATCCTGCAGCCACCAATAAAAGGCTCATTCACTGAGAAGAATACACAAGGGGGTGAGGACACCTTTGGGGATAACAAAGAAGCCATGGGCTATGGAAATGTGACAAGATGGGATAGGAAACGCGCTGGCCTTCAGGGCTCAAAGCATTATCTCAGGGAAAAAAGGAAAGTGAAAATGAGGTTTGACCAGAATTACAACAATGTCTGGGCCCAGTTTCCTGCTAAGTAAAGCAGACTTAAATCGAGGACACAGCCATTAAGAGAGCCAGAGAGAAAGATCCTTCTCATACCTCACTGCCATCAAGTTGTTCCCACAGTTCCCCTGCAGGCAGAAGACAACCGCCCTGTGGGGTTGCCAAGGCTGGGATCCTCACAGAGGCAAGCAGCTGCATTTTCTCCCTAGAGTAGCCATTCGAACTGCTGACCTTCTGGTCAACAGTCAAGAACTTAACCATTATGCCACTATAGGGTCCTTAACATTGCTATAATCCACCCCCAACATCTGGAAAAGTACAATGTCTGGCTGGCTGTGTAGCACTACTTCTGCAGTTACATGTCAACAAATACAGTATAACAAAAATAGTGCAACCTTGTGATATCATTACTCAGGGTATTTCTTTTGATCCTGGTCTCCAGCAAGAAAAGGAAGTCTCAAAATTAATACCACTGTATTTAAAACCAGCTAGCAGGTGACTCAATGGCACAAAACAACAATAAATTTTACCATGGCAACTTTACTGAATGATATTATCTGCTTTCTAGGTTTCTGTATTCTATGTAGATCTGAAAATCTTCCCACCCACAAAAATACTTTATTATTAAAAAAAGCCTTATTGTCAGGAAAACTGCCATTCAAAAGTATCAGATTATTACTATTATTATGCTCAGTTTCAAACAACTTGAGCCATTTTTATAGCTCAGCAAAACTTATCAGTGCTACAATTTCTTAAAAAATATCCTGAGTTTTTAAAATAAACTTCTGATAAGCATCCTTCATAATTATATGCAACAAAACATCTTAGGGTGGGACCATAATATTTATAGATTTAAACTGGCATTTCAATTCCATCTAATCCCTTAATTCTGAGATGCATTTCCTGTCTACCGAAGGACCCCCCCCCCCCCAATTTATTAAGTCTCTGAAACTGGACTACATCTTAAGGTTGTTGTGAATCCCATACGTGAACCAGACCAGGGCATCTGCTAGCATGGCTGCCAGCCCTGAGGTTATGACTACCATCCTCCTCTTCAGACACAAGCCACTCACTGCCATTGAAGAAAGTACTGTGAGTCTTGGTTGTCTATAACTCTAAGTACTTTCTTTTAAAAGCAAGAAGTATCAGTATCAAAGTTGTGGTAGCTGGGAACAAGTCTCTGAAACAAGAGCTGAGGATTTTTTGAAGATGTACATGATCGCATAGAGGGCAATGTTGTTATGTGCTGTCAAGTCGCTTGCGATTCATTGCGACCCTATGTACAATAGTCCTAAACCCTGCTCTGTCCCGTGCCAATTGCACTGTCTCTGACACAACTACCCCCATTACCCCAGACACTGAATCAATCCACCTCATAGAGGGTCTTCCCCTCCTGCCCTGTCCCTCCACCTTCCCAAGCATGATGTCCCTCTCCAAGGACCGGTCCCTCCTTACAACATGTCCAAAGTATGTTAGGCGGAACCTCCCTTTCCTTTCCAGCTCAGCTCAGGTCTCCAGTGTTTCTTTCCCTCGGGCTCCTAGTCCTGAACACTGAAACCTCACAGAGCTTAGCTGGATCCTTATCACATGCGTTTTACCGGACAGTGCTAGTTATATTTCTGTTTTCCATACATCTGCTGTTGTTGTGTACTGTACTATAGTCATAACTGACCCGGAGCTGACTCTCTGGAAGGTTTCCAGAGGCGGTTAATCGCACGGGAGTAGACTGCCCATCCTCCCTCTGAGCGCGACTTCTTGCCACTAGGCCACCAGATCTTTCTCTTTTTAAGACAAATCAATGAATGGGCAATAGGGCTTCCTTTACTACTTTTTAAATATTTCCACATTTCTTTAACTTAAAGCCATTTTAAAAAGGCACATGTAAATAAACAAATGATTTAGAGCAAGAAACCAAGACCAACTACACAGTTCATTGAGTCTAGTAGAAAAGTAGAATTACACAACAGCAGAACGAAGGCTTGCAAAGAGCCAGGTGATAACCGTTGGGCCACCTCTGCCCCTGTGGCTGTGACTCACTTCTGCACCTGTAGAACTGGTTAGTCATATCCAGCTGATCTCTATCAAAATGCTATCAATTATTGACTCTGAGGAAACTCCTGTGGCTCTTCTTAAAAAAAAATGGAAATTCTCTCTGTCCAGAAATATTTTTTGCAAAAATTGCTAAGTGTATGTATGGCAAAAACCACCAAGAGAATGCCCTCAGGGCACAGCAGCTTTAGAAAACCCGCCATGTGCCAACACTTGCGATGCCAGCTCTCACTAACCTTCATACAGAGGGGAGGAGAAACAGCTTTAATGCTTACTGCTCACAACTGTTGGAGGTATTAGTATCCTCATTTTACATGAGGACACTGAGGGAAAAAATCAGTGTGAAGACTCATTCCAAAGAACAAAGAATAAAAACTGTCACACAAATACAGCTTTTTAGCTTCATGTGCACACCAAGTTAATAACAACTCTGTGAGGTCAGGACTGAATTAGCTTGTGCCCAAACGTTAACAACTCTAGTCTTCTCATGAAAGGAGTCATATTTCCAGGAAAAATCATAGCCAAGTGCTCTCTTCGGCAGCACATATACTAAAACTGGATAGAGACACGATCAGCCTGGCCCCTGTGCAAGGACTACATGCAAATTTGTGACGTGTTCCATAAATTGACCTGTCCCTTCTGGATGGGAAACATCTTCTAGTATAGCAACCAGTAACAAAAACTGGGACAAAATTTTTTTTTTAAAATATCATAGTCAAAAGAATAAAAACATTCAGTAGATCTGTCACTCACTTTGCTTTAAAGAGGCAAAGGTTTTAAATTTCTGAGGACATTATATCTGAAAACAGTGGAGCTTGTGCAACTTTAAAAAACCTTGTTTCTAGATGAGATTCCCATTCTCCTTCACAAGGGGAAACCAAGTTGACTTATTTTCACATTATCCCATTATACAAATATAGACAGCATATCTAATCTATGAACTGACTGATAGCTTCTCCATTCAGCCAACTCTTCCAAAAGTCATTTATTATTCATCTATTCTGAGTTAGACACTATGCTAAGAAAGGAATGGAACACAACAAACAAAAACAACCACCTACCACTGTAAACAGTACTGTGGCTAAAGTTCTTGTATATATAATCTATTAACAAATCATTTCCTTAGGATAAAATGTCAAAAGAAAGCTGGATTTAAATCAATCTCTCTCTCTCTGCTGTGGACAGAGAACTGACCTCATCAACTGGTCCAACAGGCAACATCATGACAGATGAAGACTGAAGTTGTTAATGATTTCATTTTACTTGGATCCACAATCACACCCACAGCAGCAGTCAAGAATCCAAAACATCTTATACTGAGGAAATTTTCTGTCAAGGACCTCTCTGAAGTGATGAAGAGCATGAGTGTCACTGTAAAGACTAAGGTGCACCTGATCTAAGCCATAGTCTTTCCAGTTACTTTCTATGCATCTGAAAGTTAGACAATGAATGAAGAAACTGGAAGAACTGATGCCTTTGAAGTGTGGTGCTGGCAAAAAATACTGAATATATCATGGACTGCCAAAAGAACAAACAGCTCTATCTTAAGAAGTGAAACCTTCATCTCACTTACTTTGGGCATATTCTGAGGAGGAGTTAGTTCCTGGAGACAGACATTATGCTAGGAAAGATGAGAGTCAGAGAAAGAGACAAAGATTCTCAATAAGATAGAGTGACACAGTGACTGCCATAAAGGGCTTGAGTATGATGCAGGTGCTGAGGATGGTCTAGGACAGAGTAAGGTTCAGGTCTGTTGTCACAGGGTAGTTAAGACTCAAAGGTGACTCGACGGGACCTTATAATATCAACAAACTTAACAGACATTAAGATAATTTTCTTTTGATGCATCTGGTAAGATAAAGAATCCTTTTACAGGCAAGAGAAGAAGAAATGATCTTTCACTACTTTGATCAGCATTAAATTGGTTGAATTTTGTACAATGTCTGCTTGTCGGTTTTGTTTTGCCAGCAGGTGCTGGAAGTTCCATTCCCAGCCTGGATGAGGGGAGGGGAGGAGAATAACCATCGGACATCAAAGAGGCTTCGAAGCATGTCCACCAAACTCCACAGAGCGTCCAGCGGAACTGGGAGCACCACTTGTTTCTACTCACCACATTCTCCAAAGGTGCTGCGCCAAACACTTTGAAGACAGGGTTCGGTTTGGAGGGAGAAATGCAGAGGACAATGGCTTGCTGTCCCACTCGAGTAGTGTATTCATCTAACGTGGCTCGGAGCTTTCTGATAAAAGAGAAGAAAAAACTTAAACTAATGTAAAAACCACAGTGACTTAGAGATAAAAGATTAATATTTGAGAAATTTTTTTTACTAGATTTTTTTTTTTACCCTAAATGTAAAAAGAGAAGTGTAAGGTTTAATATCCTATTTTGGAGGAACATGCGTATACCCTTCTCTTAAAATCCAGTGGCAGGAAAAAAAATATGCAATGGCAATTTTATGCTGTGCATAAAATCACAATTTAAAATCACAGCTCGGGGATAGTGTGGGTCTGCTGAAAGTTTGCCTTGGGACATAGCCATGAGCAATGTTGAACATGAGAGTACTGTCTCTCTCGATCACACCACCAAAGGGGTTTTCTCTGACTGCTATTTATAATAAGATTACAGCTTTATGCTATCATCCTGCCAATCATCCTAACGAGCTCACTTGTTTCTAATTTTCACTTCTAAAACAAGCACGTAAGAACCACGTTGATCTCTGAGAACTTGTTTCTAATCTTTGATTAATACAGTCATTGTTTGTGGCTCATTGACATAATTTGATCCAAAATGCTAGTTTAAAAAGTTTTAGCTTACAGATTTTCTTTGTGGCAAGAACAGTACCGAATTCTCAGGCCTGCAGTGTTTTACAAATGAGGGAGTGAAGCACCTTTCCAAGTGTATCAACAGTGGACAAAACAGAAATATACTCTTCCTCTGAAATCATGGGTAATTCAAAGTTTGATGGTCCATCATTCCTCTGGGAACACAGTCTGCCCTTTCAAAGAACTGGAGGGTAATACCAACTCAAGTGAAGTACAGTCAGTGTATCCACACTAGATTTGTACCTAACGCAGGCGTCCTTGACTTTGTGCCTCCTTATAGCCACAGCTATTACACTCCAGCGCCTCAGGTCTATGCCATCATCAAAGGGAATGGGGAAAACGGTCCGTTTAGGGATGCAAAACTTCTCTGATGCTGAAGTTACTGTTAGGTACTCAGGGGGCTTTGCTCCCTAGGCAAAATCACTTCAGTTTCTCATGATCTGCTTTTCATGGTTCTTAATATAGACTTTGTTACACATCATTTACATGGGTTGGCCTTCCATTTGGATATAATATTCCAATACAAATGTAGAAGATTTGGATATGGTATGTAAAACACTATACGGAAAACGTGTGGAACATTTTATAGACTAAATTTATAAAAGCTGAATACATGGTGTGCAATCTCTCTTCAATGGACCAGATCTGTGTTATCTTTCTGCTACAAATCTCTTTGGAAAAAGAGAAAAAAGAGTGATGAACCACAAATCCCCAGCTCATCTCTGTCAAAACCAGAAACTATGTTCCCAACCACCGGGCCTCCTATTTTCCTAATTTATGGTGGGAGGAGTTTTTCCTCATAGTTTTTATTCACTGAGTAACATATCACTTATTCCTCCCCCTCCACTAGGCTATAAGATGTCTAAGGGACTTGACCACTTTAAAGTCTAATTCTGTCATCAAGGAATCACCTTGGTGTCCTTGAAGAATTTAGCAACATATGTTCTGTCATCCACACATGAAGTGTATGAGCAGTAGCAAGGACCAGAATAAGGCTCCCTCACCGAAGCAAGCGCGTCTGCTGTCTCTTCCGGATCGAGGGATTAGACTCAAACACGTGAGGTCGTTTCCTTTTCTTTCCTGTTGCCACAGCAGCAGCCGCCGCCATTCCCACAGGGCCTGGAAGAAAAAGGAAGATGCTGAGAGCAGGTTCACTGCAGAAGACGGAAAAGGATGAAAGGCACAGATGTTGTCAATAAACAGAAAATGTTCTGATCTTTTCGATATTTTTGTTATGGTCTGAGTGAAAGTTTACAGAGCAAGTTGGCTTCCTATTCAGATATGTTCTTGCTCTCACAAAGACTTTGCAGTGGTTTCACATAAACCACACTTTAATCAACCAGTGACACTTACCATGCCTCCATTTCAGAATATGAACGCCTCCCGCTTTCCTGCTCACACCACCTTGATTTTGTACAATGTCTTTTTGCTGTTTTTGTTTTACCAGCAGGTGCTAGAAGTTGCAGCATTAGAGACATTGTCAAACGGGTGGGAGGGGGTTCATTTGCAGATTTCAAATCCATTTTACTCCTCGGTCCTGTACATAACTCTAAGTCACTGCCAACTTTAAATCAGAGTTAATGACTCATACAAGACACTCCAACCAGCACCGTCTTAAGAAGGTGATCTGGAAGAACCATCTTAATTGGAAAATGTTTTCTTGACTACTTGGGAACTGTGCCAGAAACATAGATGTTCACCACAAGGTCAAACTGATGAAAGCATCCTGGCAAGAAAGAGACTGAACTTTCCCACCCCGAGGAGGAAGCCGGTCAAGCCTGCCCCTGAAACAAAATGTCAGAGGAAGCGGTGGTCCTTGGGAACAACTGGAGCTTCTGAACCCAGAGATTGCAACAAATCATGGGCATTTCTTTTTTAAAACAGATATTCCACCTTTATCCTTATTTGTAAACCTTGTGAAAGGGGTAAGTGAAAATTCAGTTGAATCCTATTTGTGCTAATATTGTTGTTGGGTGCCACTGAGTTCAGTACAATTCACAGTGACCCTAGGGACAACAGGTCCGAATCCAGTGCCATCTTCAATATCTCTGATACACTTGAGACCACTGCTGTAGCCACCACGTCAATCCAACTTGTTGGGGGCTTTCCTCTCTTTTGCTGACCCTCTACCTTCCCAAACATGATATTCCTTTCCAAGGAATAGCTTCTCCTAACATATATGTAAGATGAAGCTTCGCCACCTTTTGTTGTTGTCTCTATTGTGTGCTATACCATCAAATTGGATCCAACTGGCACAGGACGAGACTGCCCCTCTTTCTCCAATGAAGCATCTGGTGGATTTGAACCATGCACCTTCAGGACTGCAGTGCAGCTTCTTGTCACTAGGCCACCAGAGCTCCCTTGAAGCTTCACCATCTTTGTCTCCAAAAGAGCACTCTGGCTGCACTTTCCCCAAGACATATTTGTGTGAGACCAGCTATGGGTGCGCTGAGGGCAACAGGGTCTGGGCTCCAGGACAAGGGGGGTGGTGGATGTTGAAGAGTCCCACCACTTCCCTGCCTTGTATGAAGAAACAAGCTTGGAGCAGCTGCACCAGTACACAGATCTCACAACCCACACATCCTGCTCATGGTCGATGGGAAAGTCTTCAACGTGACCAAACGCAACGAGTTCTATGATCCCACGGGTCCAGAACTTCAATTAAAATAAGCCTCCTATGCCAGTTACCATTAGTAAAAATTTTGATTAAGGACCGTGGATGAATCCTGACCAAAGGAGATGGAATATAGAACAGAATTTTAAATTTTAATGGAATCGAGACTTTTTGGAGCCATGGAGGTTGAGTGAATCCTTGAAACTAATGCTGAGATAGTCTTTATTCCCCGCACCCCCCCCCCCCACCTCAGGAAACTCAGCAAATTCCACATGGAATCCTCAGATATGTGCTTGCAAATCACATCATTGTTGAGACAGTCTTTAAATTGTAAACAAAAAATATTCTCTCATTACTTTTTTTAGAGCATGTATTGCTTCCGGCAATTATTTTACTTTCCTATTTGTGCCCCTCTTCTACCCCTGAACTATAAGTTCCTTCATGAAGTTCCTTGCCTTCATCACAGGATCTCAGAACAATTCCTACTACATAGTAATTCCCAAGAGAACTATTTGCTGGATGTTTAAATGGTGAGTAATTTAACAGTCATCACATGCGGCGTTAGAATAAACCCTCTTCCTACTCTAACACTATGACACTGCAGAATGGGCAGAGAGCAGAGCCAGTTTCAAAGCCTCTTCTTTCCTAGGACAGCTGGCCTGGATTCATCGTGTCAGGACGCCCTCTGCTGGGAAGTGTAAGAATGCCACAGAATAGAGTTTACAAACATTGCAAGCTCTGCTCTTTTAACACTTGCCGCACACTTTTAAATTGACGACCGTCACAATAAATAGGTAGGTAGGTAGGTAGGTAGGTAGGTAGGTAGGTAGGTAGGTAGGTAGAGGTAGGTAGGTAGGTAGATAGAAAGATGATAGATAGATAGATAGATAGATAGATGACCGTGCTTAGAAACACATTTGCCGTCATTTGTGGCAATGTGTTAAATTCACTCTTCAGAACTAATGAATATGTGACAGAAGCTGCACTGCAATCCCAAAGGCATGCCACAGTACAAGGCCCCCAGCTGCTCTGTGGGAGAAGAATGGGCAATCTCTTCCCGTGCAATTAACTGCCTCTGAAAACCTGGAGGGTCAGCTATGGGTCGATTCCGACTGGACGGTACACAACAACAACAAGGTTATCCTTCATGGCAAGTGTCTTCCTTCCTGACTGTGTTGTTAGGTGCCATCGAATCAACTATAATTCATAATGACGCGAGGCCAGCAGATCTGAATCCTGCCCAATTCTGTGCCATCCTCACTCTGATATGCTCGAGTCCACTGTCAAGGTCAGTGTCAATCCATCTCGGCTAAGGGTCTCCACTGATTTCTCTGACCTTCTACCTTTCTCTGTATAGTATTTTACAAAGACTGGTCCTTTCTGGCAACATGCCCAAAGTATGTGAGATGAAGTTCACCACCCATGCATCTCCTGCTTTCTAGCTGTACTTCCTCCAAGACCCAGATGTACAGCATATACTAAAAAGATACATTATGTTGGCCATTCCTGATTATTGGATTTCCTGTTAACTTTCCAAAATATTTTATAAGGTCAATATTCCTAATTTATTAAAAAGTTGACTTGGGGGGGAAATCCCAACAAACCCCAATATTTTCCTTATACAGTATTAGACAGGCATAAATTACACAAGTCTCCTTATCACAGTATTATAAACATACAACATTATTAGCAAAGCATTTCTGGTACTGCAGCTGGTTGAGTAATGGGCTACTAACGAAATGGTCACTGGTTCAAACCTACGAGCTGCTCCAAAAGAGGAAAAAGAAAAGAAAAAAAAATAAGGTGCTCTGCACCCTAAACATTTAATTTTGGAGACTGTTCTGTCTGAGTGAGAACTGACACCTCAGCAGTGTGTTGGGTTTTGGGTAAACAGCAAAGGAAATAAAGCAAAATTTTCTAAGGTAAATTTTTATTCATGGAACTATGGAAAAGAACTTCAAACTCTACTGCACTCAGGAATGTTTTCATTTTCATCTGAAGCGCTGGGACACTATCGCCGTCTCTTACGAGAGATGAGAGTGGAGCCACATGCTCTACACCAGAAATTAGGACAAGGCGTCTAATTAATACAAATATACTGGTGGTGGTGGTGGTAGAAGTGATCAAAAACATTAAGAAACTAGACTTTTCCAGGAAAAGTCAATGTGCCTTGTGATCTGGTTGTATGTAATATAAACACAGCAGAGCTATTAGGGTATTTTTTTTTTTAAATTTTTGTTTGTGTGTCAGTTCTATTTTCTTTTTTTTTAGATTTCAATGAAAGTTTATAAAGAACTTGGATTTCCTTTCATTCATTGTTGCACATTTTCCTCCCTACCCACACCACCCCCAGTTCACTTTTTTCCTTTGGAAAAAAGTTCTCTCATTGTTATACAGTGCCCCCCCCCCACTTTACTATGCAGCACTTATTCTAGACTCTTGTCATGCCAATAATACCTAATCATATATTCCTTTTAGGGTAATTTCTGCTCTACTGCTTTAAAGCAATCTAACCATTTAGGTCAGCTCTTCTGAAAATAAATAAATAAATACATAACAACTCCCTTAGAATCTATTCTAGAGAGGATGCCATGACCTAAAATTATTTTAACACTTGATCCGGAATTTTTTTTAGGACCTTACATATATGAGCGGTCTTTTCTAAAACTTTAAAGTCTTAGGTCAGGGCCTCGGGGTTAGGGAGAAGAGGAAGAAATTGTTTCCTCTTCAGTGACTGGTCAAATTCACTTTGGACATGGAGAACAAAATTAGGTGACTGCTAAGGGAATAAATCTTTATATGGGCTCAGCCTTGGAAGGTGGAAAATTAAGACGCTGCAGTAAGAACCTATCTCAGAACAAAAGCGCACTCCAGAATTCAAAACAGAGGACAATTATCATAAGAAGCATTTCTATTGTTGCAGAAAATAAGCCGATGTAGGCCAATGACTGTTAAGTCTTCATGAAAGAAATAATCAGATTTTAAAATCTAAAGATTACTCACAAATTACTTTATCAATGTTCAAATTGCGAGTCAAAGAATTAATTTTGGGATCATGACTAGAATTATTTTCATGAAATAGAAATTACAGTATCATAGGGCATCCAGAAATATTTAAGAATGATAAATATTTCTGCTCTAGGTGTGTTACGCCACCCAAGCCTCAGTTTTTACATTTGCATGTTATACAGACTTGTGACATAAAATATATTTATTATTATGGGACATAGTTTTTTTTTAGAAATTTGACAAACTTCAATTCCGTGAAATACTTTCATTTTATAAATGAAAAAGTGAATTTAAATGACTTCTACTTCTGTTAATGGCAGAGATAACAACTCAGACAAGCTGTCCTGTTCATGCGTGTTTTCTTTTCTCATGGCATTTGTAAATTGTTAATGTGGAGATGGGAAATATTAGACTATCTAAACCAAAGGGAGTAAAAAAATATAACCTAGGGACACAATCAGTGACTCAATGGAAAGACTGAAAAGTAGCTTAGACAAATTTGAGAAGGGAAAAAAAATCAATAAACTGGAAGACAGAAGAAACTACACTGGATGAAGGAAAAAAGACAAAGGAGGGTAGACATAAAGGAAAAAAGATATAGAGGATTCTGTGAGTAAGACTAACATGTTTTTGTTCTTGTTTTTATGTGCCATCAAGTCACCTGCTACTCACTGCGACCCTTTTGTCACAGCTCTGAACCCTGCCCTATGCTGAGCCAGTCTCACCAACTCTGAAACACCTAATCCCACTGACCCAGTTACTGTGTGAATCTATCTCATCCCGGGTCTTCCTCTCCTCTCCTTTCCCTGTACCCTTCCAAGCATGCTTATCCTTCTCCAAGGTCTGGCAGAAGAATAACTGATGCCTTTGAGTTAAGGTGCTAGAGAAGAGTATTGAACATACCAGACCACCAGGACAACAAATAGGTCTGTCTTGGTGAGGGTGAAGCCAAGTTTCTCCTTGGAGGCTAGGATTTTGAAGACTAACATGTTTCATTTAAAATACAAAATGAGAGGGCGCTCTGGCGGCCTAGTGGCAAAAAGCTGCACTGCAATCCCAAAGGCATGCGGTTTGAATCCATCAGATGCTCCGCTCCTCCAGAGCCAGAGGGATCCAATTTGACAGTACATAACAAGAAAAGAAAAAGAAGAAAATACAGAATAAAAAGAAAAATGTAATCTGAACAGTTAATAGCTAAGAAGTTCCAGAATTGCTAAAAAAGAACAATCTACAAATTCAAGCTGCCTCAAGAATTCAGTAAAATAAACAAGAAACTCAGATATATCACAAAATCTCAAGTCAGAGAAAAATCTTAAAAACATTTCTGAGAGAAGGACTTGCATGGGGACACAACCTGCTAATGAGTAACTGTTAGAACCAAACAGCTTGACTTTCTAATCCAAACAATGGAAACAAAATGACAGGCTCTTCAATATGCGGCAAGTGAAAACTGTAATAAAGATAAATGCGATGCATGGTACTATGGTACCAAACAGAAAAGGAACTTTCAACGTAAGGAACATTACCTGCTGCAGCTAGATGGGCTGTCACCTCATCAGCAGCCGTCGAGTTGAGAATATCTGAATCATCATAAGAAGTGTCCTCGGGAGAAGAAGGGGAGTCTTCATCAGCACTCAGCATGCTGTGTTCAGTGTAGGTGGCCACATGGACCTGTTGGACTTGCTGGGCCACGGCATGGGCTTCTATGGTAGCCATGTGTTCAGTCTGGGTCACTGTGTGTTCCTCCATGAAGATCTACTGTCAGAAAAAAGGCAGAGAATGGGATTCAGTGTGCAATGTAGCAACACTCAAGCGAACAGAAATTTTACTCCAGAGTAGGGGTTTGATAAGCTCTAACACTACTATCACCACATATCTCACTGTACCACAACACAGGATATGGAAGCAACATTCAAAGGTAACACAAAAAAAGAAATCGTTTCCTAGGTGAATTTAGAAAACAGCCTTTGACATTGTACACATAAAAACACTAAATAACTTAATGAACTTACTTAATATTATCTTTGTCCATATTAAAAAAAAAGTAAAATGGGAGTTATAATTTTTACCAAAAAAAAATATCATTAAAATTGGGTGGCTTGTTTATTTTGTAAGGGTTTTTTTCCTCCTTATGGAATGGTGCTTTTTGTAAACGCTACCATCTTGCAGGAATCCCCAAACTTGCAAGTTAAAGATTTGTTCTCCTCTACATATAATTGCTATAGAGAAATCTGTTATCCTTAAAAATATTTGTAGAATATACATACAGATTTAAAATTTAAAAAAATAGGATCATATTACATACAATGTACTATCTTTTTTCCATATCACAACAAATATGGACATTTTGAAACATCAAAATACACAGAATTACCATTTCCTTTTTAAGCAGCTACAGAATAATACTTCATTGTCCAGACTGTGATGTAATTTACATAACCAATTACTTACTGCTACACAGCAAGGCTGCTTCCAATTTTTTGCTATTATAAGCATCAGTTCTGGGACTACCCTTGTGTATAAAATTTTGCCTAATAATTATATCTTAGGATACATTCTTAAAGGTAAAATTGCTGAGTCAAAAGATGTGGCTTTTAAATTTTGGTTCATATTGAAAGGCTGTGTGTTTAACCTGTACAGTAACTATCTCTATTGGTATAACATCACACAAACAAATATGTAATTTTATACAGTACTACATACCTGGAGTTAAAAAACATACAGTAGCTATAAAAATGCAAAAGTATGACCTTTGTGGTTATAAGTAAAAATGAATATAATCATCTATTCACACAAAATTCTTCCCTCATTTTTATTCTACACTGATACAACAGACTCTCCTTTCCATCATTGAGGACTTTGGAAATCCTTTTGTCCTCAGAATGACTGCTTTTGCAAGCCTCCTGCTTCAGGTTAATCGTTTTCATGATAATGACCACATTCTTCCTTTTATCCTTGATTCTTGTTTTCTATTCTTGAACTGTTTCTATAGTCTTTTTCCTCTCTCTACCTTAAAACTATCTCTTTTCGACAAATATTACATGATGCCACTGTTGTAGAATGGGACTGTCCTTGGGGTTGGGGAGAGACTGAGTAAGATGGGTTCAATAATTTATACTGCACTGAAAC